TGTGTAAAAGATCTGACATTGTATGCTTTGAAATATTAAATAAATGTATATTATGTCATATTAGTGTTAAGTCATACAGCACGAGTATCCTAAGAATATGTCTCATGAGGTTTTAGCATGAAATACCTTGTGAATTGATTTTATTATAGCGTGTTGGAACCCCCCCCCCCTCCTACCCCCCCATACAGTTGCTGCGTGTCTCTCTTTAAATGCAAATGTTCTGCTTGCTGATGCCTGCCCCTTTTTGAGCCGAGTAATTAAATTATGTATTGAGTAATTGAGTTGCTTTTCAGACAAAGTAATTATAAAAGTAATTAAAACACAATTTGATTGGTGTAATTAATGATTACTTTTTTGAAGTAACTTACCCAACACTGCTACAACTATTATCCAAACCGAATTATCTGAAAGATCAAAAGTAATTTGATTAGAAATACATGAATAAAAGGAAATGATAATTTGTTAGATATACATAAAACTCTGAGAATTTCCCTAGCCATACATGCATGCATAAATGAATAAACTACTTAATATTTAGACGAACACTTGGTATAAACACTTGTTCACATGTGAACGTATAATCATCTTATAGGGGGTGGGGCATTTCAGATAATAGAGAGCATTTGATTGAACCAAAAATTTAGGGCTCTATTTTGATAGTCCATGCACAGAGCGCAAAACGCAGGGCGCAAACGCTTTCAGGGTGTTTCAGAATGCATTTTTGCTAATTTAAGGACAGGAAAATCCACTTTGCGCCGTGGCGCATGGTCTAAAAGGGTTGAGTTTATTTTCTTAATGAGTTATAGGTGTGTTTTAAGAATAAACCAATCAGAGTCTCATCTCCCATTACCGTTAAGAACCAGCTGCGTCGCGCCATAAGCGCATCTGCTATTAACATGATGTAAAGTAAGTTCACTTTCGCTTTTGCTCTCGTGGATAGGGATACCACACAGTCATCAATTAGCCCATAAATAATTAATTTAGTTTGTTAAGCCCAAAGATCTGTTTCAAAACTATTTCTAAATTCAGTTCTAATTTCCAGCAAGCGAATAAATGAACAATACTAACGAAGTGAGGTCAAAATACACAATTATTTCCAAATACACCTGCTACGCCCCATATGGTCTAAAACCTGACAGGTGGGCAAATCTAAGCTTGTTTTTAATAAAACAAATATAAATATGGTTATGATAAATAATACTGCTAATAATAATAACATTACACAAAAGCAAATTGAATGAACTGAAAAAGCCTCTCGAGATGAAGAAAGTAAGGCAGTGTTTTTTAAGTTAATGTAGGCTAGAAATTAATGTTTTGTAATATTTTATTTATTTATATAGATATAAAGATATTATTAAGATTTATAAAGATATTTGCGTATTGCTCTACATCTTGTGTGTAGTGTGTAAGCCAGGCGCACTTTGCGCCAGACAATAGACCGATTTTGTTCTGGTCTAAAGATCAGACTATTTACAGTTTCTCAAAATAGCAACACGCCAAAACACGCCTGCTTGTTTAGACCAGAACGCCTATGGGCACACATTTGAGCGCAAATGCATTTGCTATTTAAACAGTGTGGCGCAACACCTCAAAATGACCCTTGCGCCTAGCTGAAAGTAGCAAAAGACTATTGCGCCGCGCCTTGCGCCACAATGCACCGGGTGTATGATAGGGCCCTATATGAAAAAATTAAGTGCGTTGATGATGCCATTAAAAAAAAAACATTGATTCTTATAGGCATAAAAACCAGATGACCAGATGCTACATTCTGAATGCTTAAATATTTTATATACTGTATTTATAAAAAAACGTATATATAGTTGGTGACACAGTGGCACAGGTGGTAGCGCAGTCGCCTCACAGCAAGAAGGTCACTGGTTCGAGCCCCTGATGGGTCAGTTAGCGTTTCTGTGTGGAGTTTGCATGTTCTCCCCATGTTCGCCAGGGTTTGTCAAACCTGCTATTAGTATTAAGCAATATCTAAGAGTGAACATTTGAATACATTTTTAATGTCCCCCTGAAATGAAAATGAATGATTTGGGGGTGTTAGTATTAATCTGTTAAACTATATATTCATTAATTAATTCATTCATTCATCTTACTTTGGCTTAGTCTCTTTATTTGTCTGGGGTCACCACAGCAGAATGAACCACCAACTTATCCAGCATATGTTTTACACAGCGGATGCCCTTCCAGCCGCAACCCAGTACTGAGTAAAATCCATACACACACACTCACACACACACACATACAGTACAGACAATTTAGCTTACCCAATTGAACTACAGCACATGTAGTGCTGAACCAGTGACCTTCTTGCTGTGAGGCGACAGCACTACCTACTTCACCACTGCGTCACCTTCCTAATAAATAATAAATATCATTTCTTGATAAATAGCCTCATTACGTATTTATTTATTATATGATTTATATTTGATATTAGAATAAATGTTAGCTTTTGTAAGTGATTTTATGTTTTAAAATAGAATATGTAATGTTCTCAATAATATTTGTAAAGAAAACACAGGCCCTATATGTGCTGTTTACATATATTTCAATTAATATGGAAAGTGAGTGCATGTTTTTACCAAAACCTATATTGGATTTTTTTTAAATGCATGTGCATGAACAACAATATAATTTGCACAACAAAATTATAGGGATCTTCTCTAAAGAAGTTGTACCTCCACCCTATTTAGAGCATCATTATGGGCGTTTTACTACTAACGTGGTTCAAATGATGGATCTGCAACAGAGAAACTACGGCTTGGGAAACACTTGTCACTACATCGTTATTTTTCCAAACAATGCATCATACTGTGATAGCTCAGCTGCAAGCTACATTGTTGTTTGGGAAACGCACCCCTGATTGACTCATCGATGATTGCGAATGAGAGATCAGCAGCGATCAATCATATCACGTGCTCCGCTCAAAATTAGTTTATCAAACTTCACTTAGAATTATTATTACAGGTTTCTAGGCCCAATATTTAAATATGTTTTTTTCTTTGATTTCATGGGTCTCTGTTTCTGTAGAGCACACTATCTAAATGATTCTTCTCTTACTTGGAACTGAAACAAGACAAAATAACTCATCGCCACCATTGACTGTTATATTGTACGGTGACAGATGCTACTCGACAGTCTACAGTGACCACATTACTTTCCCTGAGGGTGATGCAGTCAGACAATTCTACATGTAAATGTATCACTTAAAGGATGACTCACTCTGCGAGACAGTAATGAAGTGCTCCTCCTCCTCCTCTTCTTCTTCTTCTTCTTCTTCTGCAATAAAACACATTCAATGAGCAAAGACAGATAATTAAAGTTAAAATAAGACATATGGTAGTGTATTGGTGGGACTCATTCTTACTACAGAATACTGCGTTTGTTGTTGCAATGTCTGTGGTGACTGTTGATGCAACAACTGTGGTGGTTTCTTCTGGCTGTAGTAGGATAGCTGAAAGAAAATGGCACAGCATCATCTAAATGTATATTTGTGTGTGTGTGTGTGTGTGTGTGTGTGTGTGTGTGTGTGTGTGTGTGTGTGTGTGTGTGTGTACTGGTTTTGGTGGTTTACAAGAACTTGTATTGACATGGGAATGACATACTGTAGTTATACTCTATTAGTATATACTCTATCTACGAGGATCTCCCTGATGTTGTTGTTATTCAAAGAGTTTCAAAATGATTCTTAATGGGGTCTTTTGATGATCAAATTTTGCCTGTGAGGGTTGGGTTTAGTGGTAGGAAGTGGGTTATTTAATCAGTGTTTTGTAAGACAAAATATATTCTGCCTACGGAGAGTCCCTGATAACCACCAATACCAATGTGTGTGTTCATAAGCAAACCCCATGCCAATCTCTTTTACAGTTTTTTACAATGACTATGACACTTTTTTCAATATATTTAACAAGTTTCCTAAACTCTTAACACGGTTTGCACAACATCCGTCTTGTGGGCTATACAATTACAGTTTTTTACAATGGCTATGACAGTTTTTTCAATACATTTAACAAGTTTCCTAAACTCTTAACACATTTAGCACAACATCCGTCTTCGTGGGCTATACAGTTAACATATTTCTTCTTGCTTTGACACAAAATGCATCCAGATAACGCCAATTTAAAATGCTTAAACTTCTTTTACACACAAACTCAACCAAAACCAAAACAATGTAATTTTACAGTCCAATTTACTAATGCTTTCACACAGTATGTCAGAACAGATAACAACATGATCTAAACAGAACCTATATAGGCTAAATCCAAAGTGAACAACTGTTCACATATATACATACATACACAGAGTTCTGTAATGTGCTCACTGTTCCTTTCAAAAACCTCATGAGTCCTCTTTTTGAATATACAGTATGATCATGTGATTTGAAAAACCACAACACTTGAGTGTGCTTTCTAGATGGGAATCAGCTGTCATATATATATATATACACAAAAAGTGTCATAGCCATTGTAAAAAAACTGTAATTAATATAAAAAACTTTGTGTAAAAAAACAACAACTTTTGTTTCATTCTGTCACGATCACCAGCGATCCAGCCTGTGCAGATGGTAAACACAGATCACATAGAACTAAAAATCTGCCGTTATATGGACTACAAGATCCAGTCATGCAACCCACACACACACATGCTCCAAGTCTCTATTGATTACACTCACACAGCTGAAGCTGCTCATAGACTGATTACTATTTAAACAGCACACAAACACAAAGTGGCTGAGTCTTGTTATACTGAATTGTGAACATTACGACGCATTGTCCTTACCTTCCTTTCTGTGTTTAAATCTGGCTTTGTTTTGTCTGTTTTACGTTGTCTGCTGCCTGCCTTTTGATCCTTTGCCTGTTTACAGTTTTTTACAATTGCTATGACACTTTGTTCAATACATTTAACAAGTTTCCTAAACTCTGAACACGGTTAGCACAACATCTGTCTTCGTGGGCTATACAATTAACACATTTCTTGTTGCTTTGACACAAAATGCATCCAGTTAACACAAATTTAAAATGCTTGAACCTCTTTTACACACAAACTCAACCAAGACCAAAACTATGTAATTTTACAGTCCAATTTACCAATGCTTTCACACAGTATGTCAGAACAGATAACACCATGTTCTAAACAGAACCTATATAGGCTAAAGCCAAAGTAAACAGCTGTTCATATTGTCAATTGAAACACAAATATATTCCCT